GCCGAGAATTTTAAGAGGAGCTTTCTCCCACCGAGACTCGTGAATAAATATGAGCATTTATCATTCTTCGCTTATCCTCCGCGTGATCGGTAATTTAAGCTCCATGTAGTAGCTTTATATTTATCCTCACGAACAGCTCGTATCTTCTCGGAATTGTCGTCAATTTTGTACAAGTCTGTGTAAATATTTTGTATGGATAAATTGGCTTATGCTAATTATTTTACGTCTAAATTTGAAGCTTTTGCTATCTCTATAGCAATATGTATGAAGTATATTGCTTTTTTTTTTAAACAGGCACACAAACATTCTAATTTCTATATATGTTATATTAAATTTTTTGTTACAAAACGAAATTGGTATACATATGATACAATAAGGATTCTGTAATATCGTTTTCCCAAAAATAGTATTTTTATTTGAATATATTGGAAAAATATCACTTTTCTCGAGAGAAAAAATACCAAGATTGCTTCCCACGAAAGGCAAACATTTTAAATGTCGGGCCATTTTGTCGTGCGCGCCACTGTCAGAAATTGAACGATCGTCTTTTCCTCCCCTTGAAAACTGTAGCCATCTCCGGATTTAACACGTCGTCTCTCCCAAGATAGCTATTCTTTGGGTTTCCACCTTGTCAAGCGAGATCGATTCGGGCGAGTCACCCATGATTTCTCGCGTCTATTTTTTCGCGTACACGCGCAAATCGATGTGTGTACTTTGTGTGTGTGTGTATGTGTGCTCTGTCACTTTGCTAAAATTAGTCAGAGATTGCGGACACGAGTTTCTCGAAAGAAACGTCGAACGAAAGAACGTCAGATATCTCGAAGGATGAAGGATACGCGACTTGGGTGCCCGTTATTCCCCCAAGAGAACTGACCGCGCGCCGTCACCCTTGCTCCGTTTCTTGGAGATCGATTTGTGAGTACAACGACCCCAAGAAAAGCGGAGATCAATGTGCCACATAATTGTCATGGTAATATAGTTTGTGCGACCAGATCGTGTACAGTGTGTACACTGTCGGACGGCGAGTCCTCAGAGTGGGCGACACTCTCATAGATTTCCCGCCAAGAGTTGATTGCTGATTTTTATTGTTTCGATTGTTCTGATTTTCATCGCGACGGTGAACGTTCGATCGCGGTCCATAAATAAAACTGAGCTGAAGATGAATAAAATATTGTTTTTGCTTTGAAAACTGATTCAGTAGTTATTAATCTATTTTACTAGAGATTTGCACGATAACAATTTAAAAATGAGAAAGTTGAACTGAAGATAAATAGGTGTATCATATTATATGTAGAGAGATATAGAGATTGAAAACAAGAATAAATATATTTTAGTGGAAAAGGTATAAGTAGGCAGTTTTCAATTTCTTTTCAATCTTACTAGAATTAATATAAATCTAAAATTTTTACATAAAACTTAAAACATATGAACAGTAAAATTTTTATATAAAACTTAAAATACATAAAACTTTTAAAACAGAATATAATGACATAAAAGTTGATCAAAAAGTGGCACTGTTGAGCTAAACCTGCTAAAACGATCACGAACAGTTGCAACATCTGGCAGTTTTCGTAATGAAATGTACTGGTTTATTTTTAGGATTTCCGGTTCGTACAGCGTGAGTAAATGGGAATCGCAATCTAACTGTATGGATCTGAAGTTACTCCCTGAATGGAAGTTACTCCCTGCCGGAAAGAGTCGATATCGGCGATTCTCCGCGTGTTTGTGTACGCTGATTAAAATCAGATCGTGAAAATCGCGTTTCTTTGATCGACGGAACACCGTTCGCCTGCTGTGGCTCCAGTCTTCGATAAAATCTATTAGTGCTATTTTCTGATTGCTTACACAGCGATGATCGTACCGTTTACTAATGTAGCTTACAAGAGATACACAAGCAATCCCACAATAGAAACTTCAGAAATTCTTTTATACTTTGTCTAATGTCTTTACACTTTACCGTATTAAGAAATTGAAGGAAATTTATTTGTCTATGTCTAATATCACTATACAAAATGCAGATATAAATACATATAAATAATAAATAATTGAAATTTATATAGATAGATAATGGATACTTTATTACTCCAAAAGGTCTAAAAGGGCGTTTTGTAGGGACGTACCCAATCCTGTACAGTTTCAAATTGAAATTTATATAAATTTACAAAGTGACATGTAAGAAATTCTGCAGTTTTTAATAATTTTGTTAGATCAGTTTCATTAATTAAAATTATTTACACAATTGTATTTTAGATACAATTAGTCCAATAATATAATTTGGAAAGTCATTAAATTAAATAAGAAATTTGAAATTAACACATGTACACACATATTACACGCGATAAAATTCTAAATGATCATCATGAGACGTTACCTTAGATAAAGACGTTTCTCCCTGGATAATGTTTGCGGATTTCCTGATTAAGCATTGCGGATTATTTAACAGTAGAGTGATTACGTCAGTATCTGCGAGGCTAGACTATAGTGGTTTTCATGTCAAAGGTGCATCTACTGTGTTGCAAGGAATACAGGGTTTATGCTCGATCGTTAATAGGATCTTGTCTTAAGAGGGGCTTCGGTTAAACTCCAGACCCCCATATTCCTTCTTCCTTCTTTGATTCCCACTCTCCCGTTCGTGTCGGATCTCCACGAAATGTTTACGCAATATTTATAGCATCCTTTGTTCAAGGATTATTCGGGAATTATTATCTCGTCTAATAATATTTTGAGTGCATCCTTGAACTCTTATTATCAAATGTCTCCAAACAGTATTTCTTTTATTAGTTGGTCTAATAAAATGGTAAAATCAATAAGAACATTTTAGCACTCGCTGTAAATTTTATATGTATTTTAACGAGAATCTGACACCGAACGACGCGACGTGCTAAAGAGTTAAACAGCATTTGTTCTTGACGATATTACGAGCACTTATAACTCACTATATTCGATATTTACATGAATATGCATCGAACATGACAATATTGCCGGTCTTTTTATCACGTATTTATCGAGTTTTGCGTTATATCATGTCATAAATGTCTTGCGAATTCTAATAAAAAGCGAACGACATGTCCAAAACGTTTATACACAGTTAAAGCATTTGATTGCTCTTTAACAAAAATTCAATTGAATTTCTAATTAAAGAGCTTGATAGGATTAAATTAAATAGGATTTTGACGAGTTAGTAAGTTGTAAACATATAAATAATAAAATAGCCTTAATTAATTGTCGATTTTATGAGCGGATTTAATTTGAAATGTAGCTAAAAATTTTTAATATTAAAAGGTAAATATATGGGGTACATAAATGAAATATATATAATCACTAAAAGGACAACATTAAATGAATAAAATATAGTATAATATAATAAATATTGGGACAGTTATATGAGACGTAATAGACTTCGCTCGATGTACTGTCGATGATGTCGAAGACTTTTGCAAGTAAAAAGTAAAATTCGGCCATGATGCGAATGTATCACGTAGCGATCATGGGTGATTAACGGGGGAGATGACGTCATACATGCTAGAATGCAATCCTCTGCCTCCGCATCTCACCTCCCCATGACGTCGCATAGCACTGATTCCACGCACGCCAAATTAGGTCAAACGGTAATATTGAACGCATTGGTTTCCGTAGGAATTGGAGAATATTCGTTTACTAGTGCTTCTCTCGTTACACGTTCGCGATACTAATTGCGTGGTTCTCCCATGCAACCGATAACATTTCGATGAAATCTTTTGCACGCGTATAGATATTTTTTACCATAAACCGATCATCTTTTTTACCAAAAAATTGTTTTTTGTCAGTTAATTACGTTCCTTGATGGATTTCGTCATTTTACATTGCATTGCAACAGATTATGTAATATGCTGTAATCTTTATTCAGAATAAAATTTACTATTGTTCACACATTTATATGCAAAAATATACATTACTGCTATACAACAAAGATGATGGACTACTTTTGTAAACTCAAAAATTAGATTAATTGACCTTTTTTGATTGTCATTTACGGACTAAATTTTTTCCTTTTATTATTTGCTTTCTATTTTTGAATTTTATATTTTTATTATTTATTTGCTACTTTTTAATTTATTGTTTTTTATCATTTATTTTAAAAATAAATATTGGGTATCATAACTGAAAGATATTGTTTCACAATACAAGGGAGGGATCTGAACGTTAGTTTCCATCTTCCTTTTTTTACATACAAAAAATACACAACGAAAAGTATATATTACTTTCAGGAACAAAGTCTCTGAATTTAGATAAAATTAAAACACTCGTTTAGTCAGTGTAACGAGAAGACGTGTGTCATTCAAAGTTCTTTAGTCAACAAGACAGCGTATCGATATGCAACATACGCGTTTGTTAATCGCTTTGTGCCGGAAATGCAGTTAGGAAGCTTTTCTTCTTTCTTTCGCGACGCGACTTTTGTCCACCCACGCGCTTATGTCGCGCCGTCGGCGTCATTAACGATGTCTAACGAGCCCAGACCAAAGAGCTTGGGTGGAACAATACCACTCGAAAGTACATCCATGTGAAAGTAAATGGTTCATACGACGGAGACAAGTAACCGCGTATCCGGTTGTGTAATATGACTGTCGACGTAGCGACGCGTGCACAAGTGAACTTTCACGACAACCGTCTGCTTCTTGTTAATATTTTGAGTGCAATTCGTAATTGTTAAGATTGTCTGTTTCAAGAACCGCTTTGTTGTACATTGTTTCTAAAATTAGAACTAAAAGTAGTAACCTTAATACGCGAAATATAATTATTTCTCCAGCTCCATAGCAATTATGATTATAGTTATTATTACCAATTCTAATTCTCCTAATCTCAATGAAATTTGAACTAATCTAAGAATTTAAAAGATAAAAAGTTTTGAATAAAAAAAGAACGCGATAAAGTGTTATAAATATTTGAACACTTTTTCAATATTTGTTAATAATGAAGATCACTAAATTCTTAAAATAATTATGTGCTATTTTGTATTACAGAAACAAAGCATGATGGTCCGTCAACTGGAAGAGGAGCTCAGAATGAGGATGCGCGGACCGAGCGTCGAGATGCAACAACAAATGGAAGTTTTGTACAATGAGAACGAGCACCTGACTCGCGAAATTGCCATACTTCGTGATACGATAAAGGTGAACATTAACGTCATAGACGTCTGGATGCCATATATTATTTTCCAGTGCATTAACTGTTTCTAACAGCTCTTTTTACTGTATGACGCAAAGTTATTCCCGTAAAATGGAGCTGTAAGTCAGTGTTTTCTGCATTTTGTTGAATTATTTTTCCGAGAGCAAAACAAATTTCCAGCTGCGCGGTTTGTGACATTAATCTTAATCGGCGGGACTAGGCCGGTTTTTCACGTCTTACGTCGAAAATAATTCAGTCTCGGTCTCGAAGTAGAATGACGCACACTATCGGGAAGATTGGAACGCTGCTGGAATAATCGCGCCCTCGAAGGAGGATCCCATTATACCTCGGGAATAATAGGGATAAGTAAGAGCGGTAAATGGAAGTATAAAACGGAGGAGACTCTTCAAGGGATCGATGCGTGAAAAAGCCGCAGGCGCCTCCCAGTCCGTCTTTCTCTCTTTTTCCTTGTTTTCTTCTTTCTCGCCGACAGCCTCGAGAGTTTCCCTGACATTTGTGAAAATTTTCTCGCGGCTGCCAAGTATATTGGACCTCGCGCTATCTTCCGATCGTCTGACACCGCTGCGGACGTCTGTCACGTATACCAGCATCAGCATTCCGAACGTATTCAAGAGAACGCGTCGAGCCTCTGTCCGGTTTCTTCCTCTTGAATATTCCGAGACTTTAATGACATATCTATTTTATATAATTTATAATGCTTTTATTTGTCTTATAAACATCAGTGTATATATGCAATGTTAGTTTCAAAGTAAAGTTAGACGTCAGTAAGCAGTAGACAATAGTAGCAATTTCTTATAGCAATTAATTATTAATTTTAATCTTTTCTACTCGTTTGACGATAATATCGTAACTTTACAGTTTCTTTCGTTAACGGCACATTATTAATTTAATAATAGAAGTTTTACCGGAAAGGATAACATTTTGATTTACTTACGGTTTATTTGTGTGTTTGGTGAAAGCGCGCGTGATCGTAAATAAAATAATCACGTTCGCAAAATAATCCGTTCGGCGGTATATGCCTGTGGTTTATTGACTTCTTGTACACCATGCATACGGCTGTGCTTCGCAGACCCGAAATAGACGAGGGGTTTAGGTCGCGTTCGAGGTAAACGACCGATTGTCTACACGATCAGGATGTTTCCGGAAATTTTGGTAGCAACGCGAATATCAACTTCATCGCAGTAAATTCGTTAAGTTTGCCACCTGCGGCGTCGAAACAGGCGTCGGCGCGTACGTAACGTCGAATCGATATACGCAGGCACGCAATCGGTGTGTCACGTTCCACTCGTTTATTAAAAGCAGCACGACAGACATAAATCTTTTCTAGACATTTTTTCTTACATGAAAGAAACATTTTATTTTTACAGCAAGATAAATGGTTAATGATAGATTCGTATGTGTGGAACACGCGAAGATATCCCTTCAAGAAATAATCTAATCTCGCGCGGAAGAAGCGGAGTGATATTCGTTCGTAAGCATGACCGAAATGTCGCAGACAGGTCAAATGTACAACGTACGGGAAGCAACTGGTCGCCTTTGGCCATTCGCCAGTTTATGCACTCGGTTTCTCGTTCCTCGGTAAATTCTCATTATCGATTCCGGCAACCGAGTTGATCGAAATTTTTAGAAATGAAATGTCTAAGATACTTGACGCCAAATACAACATTTTCACTTTATTATTCCGTAACTTCGATTCAATATATGACTTTTTGATGTCATATACTATATGTATTGACTAGTTTTTTGGTCCGTAATCTGACTTTTTAACATATTAATACTTTAATAACGTTAATATGTGATATGACATCAATAATTTACAACACGAGGAGCGATATTTATATAGCTTTCGTCCAAATTTGTGATTAATATATTTAACACTTGACTACCTTGACTCGATATGTCCCAGAGTTTCACTCTACTCGAGACTATAATTAGCGGCTCTGGGCTAGCGATAGCGCGATGCTATTTCGAGATCAAACTTGCCGGCAGTAAGTACACGTGTTTTTTTTTGCAGTATACCGCCAACTGACGCATTTACATCAACTGCGGAAGTTTGCGGAGGTTTTCATTAAAAGAGTTTAATTGAATTAATTATCGGTTGTCGGTCGACGTAACATTCGGGAATTCTCGCATTTCCTGAGCGCACGTTGCTATCTGCTCGCAGGTAATATCGCCAGGCGAGTGTTCTTCTCGCGCAGCGGGAAAAGCGTCGGCAGAAGGCCAGCAGTGGGTGTCTAATTCCAGACTAATTACTTTCCCGTCGTCAAAGAGGCGTGTTAAATTCGTTATGCGGGCTCCAAGCGGTGGCACTATTCATTGTTGACGGTCACTACAATCATACGTATTATATAGCTACCGGGACTCCACAGTTTTTACGAAAATAATACTGTACAAAATGCGCGCGATAAAACTACGTAAAAATATTTTTCGCTATTTATATGCATTTTGCAGTAAATTCCTATTATCCTATTTGAAATGTTAATCTCCTTTTAGAACGAGAAGTCAGTGCACCGACCTGGTGATAAATTAAATCTCTCTTTATTTAATTTCAAAGATTAAGCTTGGTGTATTTTTAGGAGAAAGTGATATATATATTTTTCCATACAAGGGTTAATGATGAATGTGTTTAAGGCAACTTTTTAAAGAGAAACTGAATAGTTCTGAATTTGTCAAAGAATCTATTCGTAAATTATTTTTAAATAAATTTGTATTCCGTATAAAAATGAGAAATTTATAAAGTAGTGCCGATATCTTTTTAATGTGCGTTGTGCATTATGTAGTGTAGTGTGTTGAGTCGCCTTAAGCTTTGTGATCCCGGTAGTACCGTCTGCAGATGCTGAAATAATTTCGCAGGCTTAATATAGACAGTAGTATTTTGAACGTAACTGAGTTGCCCAATTATCCCTAATGAAGACCTAATTTCGACATTCCACAACAGATTAAATTTTATGGTGGTCTTTGCATTTAGCTCGTGTTATTCACATGTACTTTGTGAATTTAAAATAAATACGATTTAAAATATTTTTAAAGCATTTATGTGATATGATAAAATAAATCGGAATATCCAAATTATTATTTGATATAATTCAGAAATGTTCATTATATGCGATATAATTGAATCTAAAATGTTGATGTAAATATTAAGAAGATTATCAAGATTTAAGAATAAAAGTATTGCGTTAATACAAGTGTTTAATAAAACAGTAACAATTCGGCGACGAATCGTGAAAAGAGAAGAATCTTAATTACCTGCAATTTCTTTAATTTTAATTAATCTTGCTGATGTTTTTCTATTGCAGGAGCTGGAATTAAGAATAGAAACGCAAAAACAAACGCTGCAAGCTCGTGATGAGAGTATCAAGAAGCTCCTCGAGATGCTTCAGAACAAGGGGATAGGTGAGACATTGCTTGCAATTTTTTAAATTAATTAATTTAACATTAATTAATTATTTTAACACTGCAATTTGTGGACAAAAAAGAGTACATGTCTGTGTGATCGCAAGATAGATTAAAAGAATCATAAGAAATCGATGAAGTTAGGTAAATCGAATAAAAATAGATAAACTTAGATTTTATTTTAATGTAAAATTATAATGACAGACGCGATTTTTTATTTGACTTACATTTTAGCACAAAGAATTGAATAGCAATTCTTTTAGTGTCTTTCAATTTTTTTAAGAACTATAATTGTGAACTGGAAAATTGCGAAATAAGAAAAAATTAATATTTCAAGTATTATTAGAAAAGAAAATATCTATTTTAATAAAATATGTACAATACCCAGAAATAAAAATACAAAGCATGTGTATAAACCCTAAAAACAGATTGGATTAAAAGTGATCAAATAGCAAAGTTTACACAAAAAGATGTTTACATTTTCACATATAAAATTAAAAATTTAACTTTTGCTGGATTTTTCAGTCCACAATTATCTCTACAAAAAAGCTAAATAAAAGCTTGTCTCCTAACAAGATAAGCTTTTATTTAGCTTTTTTTCTCGCATGATTGTCAAATAATTTTTTCAAATATATATTGTGCTCGACTGCTCATAAATGACTTCATGTAGCAAATATACATAGCGAGTTATCAGAATTTAAATTTGCGAATATTTTGTTCGCAAATATACGACGCCCGGTATCGTTCTTCCCTAACGAAGGGAAGACTCAATTTCCTCTGCAACGAAATTTTTCGCGCAAATGCCGTCGGTCGTCCACGACAACTACAACGGCTTATCGAGTTATCTCGTTAAGCCTTGGACCGCAATTCGCCTAAGCAGACGAATCTGCGCTTCGAAATCGTTATTGTGATCCATATTAAAGCAAAACACTTGTCCTGGTCTTATCGTGAAGCTAACGGTGCATGGTCCAAAAAGATGTTGCAAGAGAATATTAATATTGCAAAATAATTGTGCGAAAGCAAGGAGTTGCTTTCAAAAGTTGGGAAGGTGTCGTTATGAACAAAGTTTCAATTCACTCGACACATTTAACGCAATACGTATTAAAGTAAATTTCCGTATTATACAAATGCGCTTGGCATACATAATTGGATGCGCTGCATTGACATATAAATAATTTTGCTCTTTAAACTATTTTTACAAATTTGAGTAGAAGCAATTACAGTAAATACAAGTAAGGGGGGAAATAAATTCTTTTAATTAATATTATTTGATTTATTAATTTTTTTATTATGCGATAGGAATGTTGTGTACGTTGCATTAATTATAATATAAATAATTATAATAGTAACATAGAGTCAGAGAGAAATTAACAAAAATTGCGCTTGAGTAAACTGTTATGATCATTTTATTAGGATCACTTATTTGTACATACAAGTGCATATACACACACACACACACACATATACACACACCCACAGTTGCATCAATCCAAGAACCTGGAACCAAACAGTTCCTCCAAGAGTTCCTCGTTACTTTCTGTTGTTCTAGGAAAAGAGGAGGAAAGGCTGATGTTCCAGCAGATGCAGTCGGCGGTCCAGAAGCAGGTCCTTAAGCTATTTCTATCCGTCGCCATACATACTCATAATTATAAATAAATAAATATATATATATATGTATATATATGTATACATACATCATGCATCGCGTACATATATGTATATACATATATATATGTGTGTATCATTCTCATTTCGATCGACGCTCATTACGCATTTTCGATACGCATATGTGTATACGCATCGACATTAATAATCTGCCTATTTTTTTTGTCCACTTTATGTATGTACACATATGCGTTAACATTAATCGCTGCCCATTGTTCTGTACGAGTAGTTGCTTGCAAGTAGCTTGCAGTTATTGCACCGCCAGTGGCTTTACTTTTTGCCCCGTGTGCCGTGCTCACGCTTGAAACTTCTGTTCTCTCACCTAAGATCTGAGAAAATAAAAAAGAGAGAGAGGAACAAAACGGACAAAAGAGAAAACGAACGCCAGGGGGTGAGTGGAGTTAGCCCTTATCTTTACACGGGCAGCCTACTCTCGATTCAGGGACCACAACAGGGTATTGCGAGCTCTCCCCGCCTGTCTCGTGTGACTCGACTCGATCGTTGCCCCCAAAATCGATTGGGCTCTCGCGAGCGACGGAAAGGGGTTTTCCGTTCTGTGTTTTGCGATACAGGCGAGATTAAGGTACGGTATGCACATGCGAGATCGGGGAAACGGCGATAGGCAATAGCCGATGAATCTTCGGTCAACAGGCGCGGAAATTTCGTCGATCGAAATTTGCGGGTGTAACAACGTGAAAGATCTGGTCATTCGAGGATTTGATAAGAATACGATCTGAGAATCTTATGGGATTCGCGGATGTGTGAAAATATCAAAAGATAGAAAACTTTCAAAATTCATTATAAACAAATCTAAAAGAAATTCAAGAAGTATGTTTTACAACAGAACTTTTCTAAGAAAAGTGCGAGAATTGTAAATATATACAAACATTAAAATGAGAGAGAAAATGAAAATTATGAAATGAAATTGAAACATTCGGGAATCCAATGATTTAGAAATGTAGATAGTTCAAGAATTCGTGTACAAAGATTTTAACAACTCAGGAATTTTCGTTTGAAGTTTTGAAGTGGTGTAATATCTCTGGTATAGGTCGTAATAATTGTGCACTATATCCTCAAAAAAGTTGCCTGCTTTATTACAACCAAAATTAGGATATTTGTACGAGAATTTAACTCAGTAGCTGTGACTCATTTCTTCACGCAATTTTCTGTAATTATTTATAATAACGAAAATTCGTACAAAACGTAGGGAAATGCGCGTTTAATGAATAGAATAGAGAATTCAATTTCGGAGTACGTTACATTTATTTAGGATATGACTCTCTTTGTTGTGATGTAACTTGTGCAATCGGCGACGTTCGCAATCAAAATATTTCGGTGCATTTCGAACCAGCTCGCGATGTTCTATTTATTCCGGTTTGACAGCGTTTCTCCCCTTAGAGAAGGAAAATCGAATCAGAGGTGGAAAATCGACGAGATTCACTCAGCGACTTTACACATGTACATGTACACGTATACCAGACACACACACGCACACGTCTTCCAGCACACGTGCATATATTCGCATCCATGTCGCGTTCAGCGTGCACGCAAAATCGTGGGTTTTTACTCTCTCACAACTGTTTTGTACCAGCACTTTCCTTCGCGTCACCGCCGCAAGAGTTTTCAAAAATTCACGCCTATACAAACGCGATTTTACTGTTCCTACATGCTTTTGTTGCGAACAAGGATTGCGGAAATCTCCGAAGGAAATATGCCGAGAAAGTGTCAAAAGAAATTTGCCGAGGTGCTTGTCAAGTCATCACTTTATTACGAGTATCGCTTTACCGTCTAGCTCAATTTTATGGAATTTTCGATACCCTACGGCGCCACGCGTGCATTCCGATATGCCGTAAACTTATATTACAGAGAAGTAAAACGCGTGATGACAGAGCCGAGAATTTCTGTCGCCGGACGCCAAAAAGGCATCTAGCATTTTATCGCAATCAGGATTTCGAAAAAAATCGCAATTTTGTAAAAATTACATAAAAATTGTTACAATCGCGTCTATCTATCTGTTAAAAAGTCATTGCAGCGTTTGGATATTTCAAGCAAATACTGTTCGCTTTACTTGAAAATTTGCATACGTTTCGACGTATATTTACCGATTTTTCGTCGACAAGATCGCAAAGAGAGGTCTTCACGTTAAATCCGAATGGTACAGGAATTCGTGAATTTTTGAAGCGTCAATATCCCCCCATCGCTTTACTCTCATTCAGCAACTGTCGCTGCTCCGCTGTGCTGTTACATAGCGAAACGAGCATTTAGTTTGTTAGTCTCGTAAAAGAGTTTCCGAGCACCAGAGCACTGCCATCAGCGTGATCACATCGCCATCACCATGTCCGCTCTGCCTAATGCAATCCGTGTTAGACGGTCTTTAGAGCAGACCTAGACCATGTATACCTTCCGAGATACGTCCTCGCGTTCATAGTGCCCTCCCTTCGTTTATAACCCCGTTCTCGGTATACGGAATGCGAAGTCGTTCGGAAAAGCCGCTATTATCTACAAGCCCGTTGTAGCCGGCGAGCTTGTTTCTTCCGCGCTTTTTGATCCACTTTTGCCACGCGTCGTGTTCACGTTCCCATTTAGTCATGACCACCTCATCACACGCGCCGCTTTTCATCCGCAATATTTCTTTGTAAGATTTCATACTTCCTGTGTCCCCTACGCAGCTTTGCTGCATTTGCATTTCTGCAAAAGCGCCTAACATAGCGAACGAAATTTGCTCCAGAGAAAATTGTTCAAAAGTTATCTGTTACTTCATTCGATTGAACGATCAAATTTTTCGTGCACTAGATCTTGATTTCACAGATCGTGAATTCACTTCCGTAAATTTCAGCGAAATTTAGTAAAGCGCGTACTACGCGAATCAGCGTTTTATTTAAATGGAATTTTTATGAAAACCAAGGAAAGATAACAATATTATTATAATTAACGTTTTTCACGAACAACGTCGCATTCACTATCTCGATCTCCTTGCACTCTCGTATTCATGCCTGTTAGACTTAGGACTTAGACGGAGTTTATATAGCTTATAAGTGGCACTCGAAGTCGGGAGTGATTCGACAGAATAAAAATTGACAGAACCGTGGCACTTGTCCGAGTGCAATTTCGTGCACGAATTCAACGGAATAAGCACGTTAACATAAACAGCACGAAAAATCTTTCGCTCCCTCCTCGTTCTTTCTTTCTCTCATTCTGTCACCGAAAAAAATATCGCACAATGTTAACCTTTACTCATTCTCTCCACTTCCTCTGAAAACTACTTTGAGCAAAACTCTTGAGCGATCAGCTGCACTAGCACCAAAGCCTGTCTCGTTGTTCATTGTGACAACTTAGCACGAGCATTGTATCATGTTATCACCAATCCCGGTCCATGTACCTTTAATCCTGGTCCAATTCATCTCAACCGATCCGTTGAAATCCTTCGACAAGTCCTTCGTGTTCTATATTGAGATTAAAATCGATACAACTTTGACAAGCTCGAAAAGTTGATGCTAGAGACAATTGCTTTGCGATAATGAAAACGTGATAATGCCTTTGCATTATTTTATACTGAAATCCTTGGTTCAAGCATCGACGCTTGAACTTGTCGAAATTACAGCGATTTTAATTACTGGCTTCAATCTCTTAATTACCTGCTTTCGGTTAAAATGTGTGCGAGTGAAATACAGATGTTATCTCATGATTCTCGACTGAGAATACTTCAAATTCTCGGTGACGAATTAACAGACGCCACGGGCGTGTAGAAGACGTTTTCCGATTAGCTCGAGGAAGAAGGGCGCACATTTGACGCCGAGGGGGAAACTACTCGGTCCAATTTCCTCTCTTTTCACGACAAATTTCTCCGGGCATAAGCCGATCTCGGCGCGACGCGACGGGCGCGCGGGCGCGCGGGCGCGCGCAGCAATTAATAGCTGCAATCTCGTTGCACGTAATTAATTGCCGTAATTCAGGCGAAGTCTTCGAAGTAATGTACTTTGGGTATCATTGAAGAAACAAAAGGAAATTAAGTTTTCGAATTGGAAAAGAAGGAAATTATTAAAATATCTGCAATACAAATATCTGGCACATGCACGTTAAGTTACATTAACATATTATATTAGTATTATTATTATACTAAATTAGTCTGTTTTTTGTGTCTTTCGTTGTATGTTTTTAATATATAATTAATATATTCATATAAAATAATGTAATTTATATAACTTTTATAATTTTACATAATTTTGCCATTATCTAAATTTTTCCACCGTAAAGCAGGTAACTAAAGGTACGAAAAAAAGGAGATAATTATTCATAATCATTAAATACGAGTTTTTAAAAAGCATGCAATGGCCATTGTGAATAGAAAAACAGGAACACATCCTACTTTTCCAAATTAGCTCCATGTAAGGCCACGTGTTCTCCTCTACCTCTCTTTTTGCACCATACATGTCGAACAATTCAAGAACGATTCGTCCACGATGTCTTTATTCGATGACCTCGGTAAAATGAGATAATTTATCTAACAATCAGCTCGTACACAACGTTACAAACCATTATATGTATATATGGATATTCTGCAAAAAGCAAGAACTTTATTCTCGGACTCGCGATGCGTAATGACGCTAAATTTGTTCCATTAATCTAATTCGATAGATCGGATGTTAGATGAATCATCCAATTATACGATACGTCACCGAATCAGCGAGTCATGGGACGAATCGTCCGCCGCTACCATTATTGTCGAACACGATATCGGACATAAAGACGCCGACGACGAGAAAGCAGATGGCCGATCGCAGGGAATGAAGGAACGAACAGCGCGAGGAAAATAAATTCGAGGGGAAATATCGGAACGGAAGTAACAATAACAGCTGCGATTGGAATGCGTGGAATGAGCTGCTTTGGATGTGTAGGCGATAAGATACGTTAGTCACCCTCCTCCCGTTCGCGCGGGGAAATATCACGCCCGCATATCCGTCTATGTCACGTCATTCACTATCCGTCACTAACCACAAGTACGATTACTATCACCACCACATGATCAGCCATCACCGTCATCATCACGGTCACCACGAGTCATCACCCATCGACTACAACACAACAACCACAACTACAACTACCACAACTACAACATCACTACGTAGCTCGAAATTAGGGACTGGCGGTACGCACGTGACTTCCTACCCCACGAGGCCCCGCCATGGAGAACCCAACACTCCCAACAGGTACACTAATTACACACATTAATGCTAATTGGACCCGGTAGATGCAGGAGCGAAGCTAATTATCCGAAATTGCCTCGAATTTCTTTTTTCTCCAGCGACGAATTTATTCTTTTATGGATAGTAATATAAAATTAATATAGATAATCTCTCCCACTCGAACAATCAGCCGCTGTCTGATAGGATGTGTCACACGTGTACATATACATAAGTGAAGTATACGTCTTGTATGAAAAGCTTGCCTTCAAGAGAGCCACCGTATGTGAAAAAAGGCCTTCGTGAAATATCACTCATGAAAATTACAATTTATCGTAAAATTCAAAGTTTTGCGTATTTTACGAAGTACAAACGTGGAAAATGAATATCGCAGAGTGTAAGCTACATAAAAAAAAACCATATTTTACATTCATATTTTAATTTATAGCTTTGCAAAACTTACGTTTAATTTTTTATAATTAATAATTAAAGTAATTCATGCGTTAAATATTTTTCAACGTTGAAAGTTAGAAGATCACGAGATAGCATTCAAAATGGTTCTTTATACGCGAATTTGTTTGATTTAAAAGATTTAACTGCATTTTTTTTAACATTTGTGTTTCTACGTTCACGAGATCGAAACGTATTTTACCTAAGAGATAGGGGTTACTTCGCGATCCTGAAACTATTCCGTCGAAATGAAGTCACGTTGACCGACTAATATCGTCATTAGTATTCGTCCATGAATTACGCACGCTCACGCATGCTGAATTAGGAGCCGAATTAGACGCCGCGCGCGAATATAATCTGTCTAAATTGTAACATTGTAAGCCTCCCCTTCTTGGGCTCATCAAAATTAATTGCACGTTAGCCATCTTTATCGTGTCGCTGTCTAAAATTCTCTCCGGTACTTCATTTATCGTCGTGTATTACGTCTTTGCCTGTGTGTGCCTGGATATAAATGTACGCATCGTACAGTGGCTCTCGATCAGTGGCATACGCTAAATTCACGTAAGTCATCGCTAATATGTTAAACGTGCACGCGTATACGCTGCGATGTTCAAAGATAGGTGTAGGAAAGATCGAATCTAATCGGTCACACGTCTAACTTAATGTACTGCCAATTGATATTTGTTACAATAATAATTTCTAAATTTATCAGTTGTTTGCGGATTGTAGCAAAAAAAGAGAGATAATAAGATAAAAAGAGACATAAGGATATGGTTTTGATTTTTTTAAAGAAAAACATAAATTCGTAAGTTTTGGGAATTTGTATGTCTACAAAAAATATTAAAATGCATGTAGAATTTTACATTATTAAATTTATTTAATTGGTATTTATTGATTGTAATATAGTTTTGATATTATTATCAAATAATACGTTCTTTTGCAAGAATTTGCAGTCAGCTAATTGATAATTCTTCACAAAGATGTGGTTAAATTGTTCGAATATATTTGCAATTACTTCATATTCATCGATTATAAAAAAATTATTCATACGGTTAATTAATATATTGCGGAGTTGCTATAATTCTGAGGAATAAACCAGAATATATTGTTGTAGTTTTAATCCTTTTTATAATCATACAATATATATTTCTAATAATAATTAATTTATCAATTTAATAGCTTATCTAATAATGACTAATCGTTTATATAGATAATTCAATAATCGAATGATCTCCTTAACAACTGTGGGTATTTTTTTTTAAATAAAAACTTATCTTGTAAAGGGATAAACTAATAAATCCCAACTTATTTTATCTAGATCATGTTACTGTTTTCATCAATAATATTCTCTTTTTATTTATCGACACTCCGCCAACAATTTACCGATGTAACCGACTAAACTCGATATCTCTCCAACACTTAAGAGATTGTTGCTGTCGAGAGAAACTCCCGACAAATAAAATTCTCATTTGCTGACGACGAGTGCTTACTCGCCGTCGTGCGTTCACCGGAGCATTTTATCGTCGACAGTTGCTCTCAGTAGCGAAAGTCTCGGTCGAAGAATACATTACGGCGTTAGAACTTGCCTCTCGTGACATCGCGCGACTAATCTGGAAATGCAAAGTACCTCGAAGACAAAAAAAAATGATCGAGAGATTGACTTTTTTCTCGCGTGCATACGCGAGAGAGAACGAAAGAAAGAGAAAATGGTCATCAATGGCATTCGTATTCCAAACGACATTCGGCCGAGTTTTGACGATCAGGAGGATGGACGAGACACGCTACGAAAAAATCGACGTCAGGCTGTACGAGACTTTTGGCTCGTCCCGTAAGAGAACAACTTTCATATCTACTTTTTACACTTACTTTTCTTTTCTCGATATTCTATTATATAGATACATATATATATTATCTTTTTCTATATACATATTTAATATATACACAATATACGGAGACACATATATAATACCTACATACTATACACATCCTCTCATCTTCCTTCCGCGTGTATATCTTATACATATGGAATGTTCAGATTCTTTATATGTATATATATATATACACACATACATATAAAGTATCTGTATAAGTATATATATAAGTACTTTATATGTATATATATGCACCATCTCTCGTTATATGCATACGTACGCGCACGAGCGCATTTCCTGCGTATGTACGTGTGCATAAACGCCCGTGTTACAGATGTACATTTACATACACCCACACTACTTTTTACGTATTTGTTCTGCCATCATCTCGGCTGTTGATTCACTGAATGTTAACGCCCATTTATATATATACTCTCTCTTCTCGTTCTTGTACGCCTCAGACACGTTCTTGCCCATCACGACTTACCGCTATCATCGCCAATCGTCGTTATCGATGCACGAGCAGCGGGACGGTCCGAAAGTCGTCAAGTCGCGTCAAGCCGAGCCGATTCCAGGCCCAAGGGAGGACTTTGCGACTGTTTGGCACCGACCTGGTGCGAGATGCGATAATACGACGTCGTTCTCCTCGCGTAATCTTACTGTCTTATCCTCTCTATCATAACACCATTCGTATTTCGCCGATGGAAGCGCCGGCAGATCGACATTTCTCGCGCATACATTCTTTCTATGTAGTTTGCTTAAGGTTTAGGTGGTTCGATAAAGCGTCCGATTAAAATGTCTCGAAATAGACTTCCGACAAGGTAGATCTTTCATATTTTTTACTTGCCTATTTTGTTTTATTCCAATATTTTATTTTACATGTGCATCGTACATTATGTTTTATTTTCTTTTCATTTCTGAAGAACCGTGTTCCAAGACTTGAGAAAAACTGCATTGTTGTACTCTATGGAGAACATGCTTGTTATGTTTATATTGAATGTAATTCATTCGAGGAAATGCACCGGTCTGCCCGCGCTTCCACGTGTCATACACAAACTCATCAAGATGCGTATCCGTGCGTGAGCGCTTAGCAGGCGATGAATAACGAGCCCTCACCGGCTCATTGGTCGTTGCTATTTTTTTTCTTTCATCGAGCCGATAAAACTCAAGCCCCTTTTACTCACGCTCGCGGAACACCGATACGCATCCGCACGTGCATTCAAAAGAGATCTTGTCCATACGACGTGGCCGCGTTTCGAGCTAGCAAGAATAGCTGAGAAATCGCGAATTGCTATTCCTTGTTGATACAGATTACAAATTTTCGCGCATTTCCGAACAATTTCTTCGACAAATATCACACCGTTGATCGCGACGGTGACCGATGGATTCTCTGGGGGAAAAAAATCGGGTAAAATACGTGAAGGAATACGTGTTAATGTAGCACGATGACAAATCATCGAAACGCCGCGCGCAGAAAAATGGACAACGATGTCGGCCGTACGTCGCGGTGGGCGAAAGAACTGCGGCGGCGCCCGGCGTCCGGAAGAGGATCACTGTGAGAAAAATTAACTAAAAATAAAAAAAGGAGAGAAATTCAAGCAAGCACATTGGAATGTTAGAGCGTGACCTTGCGACCGTGAGATCGTCGAAAGGACTTAATGTGGCGTTACCGATCGACGATCGTCGATCGTCATCAGTGATCGGTGCGGTGCCGATCGAACCTCAGAATAGAAATCAGGCAATAAAGACGCGAGTTTAGAACCAGAGATCTGATCCTGAAAGAGAGAGAGAGAGAGCGAGCGAGGAATGAATGTCGAGACGCGTGAGTGAGGAGTTCTTCGCCGCTTCGATCGGTGAGAATCGGTTGACTCCTCAATCGTATTTTTTTTTTCGGAGTGACGAAAACGTCTTTATACCGCTCGGAGAAGAGAACGAAGAAGATTGTTTTGGAAGAAGGAAGCTCGGCGGTACGTCGCTTTTCTTTCGTCAACCGGGACGCTGCCGGTGCCACTTCCGCTTCCTCGAGACTGTCCCGCGAACCGAAAGATCGGAGAATGAAAATTGCGTGTGTCATTCACAGCCAGAATGCGTAACGAAGAGAAATATTGTTCCGAATTTCGATATTTATCGATAAAGGAATAATTAGTTCATCAAAATAGACCAGCCATTTATTTATAACGAGATCGAAAATTACCGTAAATTTACGCATTTTGCTGCTACTTTTTCAGTTTTTTACATATGTGGAAACGAATACCGTTATTTATTATTTTTATGGTACAATAATTTTTCAATTGATCTTTTTTAAGTTTCCGATAAAATTTGACAAAATGAAATTATTCTAGTGTGTATGATGTTACAGTCCTTTTTGCATTTTAAAGTATTTTTACAGATTCTTTTAAATTTATTTATTTTTTTTGCTTAATATAATAAATAAATCTTTAATACGCGATACAGCAGTGGATGATATTGCGCACAGCAAACGAAACTAGCTCAACGAACTCCGAAAGAGAGACGACAAACACGGGGGCAGTCTCATGCGTTAGCGAAGCCGCACCCAACCAACCATCTTTATAGTCACATCTTTGAAACCGCACCACTGCATACTTCACATCCAAGAAAATATTAAAAAAAAAGATATCAGACAACATCTCAACTACATCATCAAACAGACAAAAAAAAGATATTAGATCGCGAGATCGCGCTAGAGAGACACGACAGAGAAAAGAAATTGCGGCGCGAGAAAGAGTCGACGACCTGTAACCGTCTTCCCCGTTTGTTGCTTCTGTTGTATCAGGAGCTCAAAGCGACGAACGAGAACTTGAAGAGCCTGCAGACGCAGTTGGAGCTCGCGTACGCCTCGACCGCGTCCTCGGGACACCCGGTGGTCGGCGGCGGCGGCATCAGCGGATTGGCGGGTGCATCGGTCATCGGACTAGGTAGCGTATCGGGGGGTGCAGGTGCTGGGGTCTGCGGCGGCGGTACCGTCCTCGGAGGTAGCGTGGCGGTTCCAGGCGGCGTGCCCGGTAGCACCACCCTGACCGCCATCATGGAGACAAAAGACGCGCGCATAACAACCCTGGAGAAGGAGGTGGCGTTGCTGGAAGCCGAGATGCAGCGCATTAAGGAGACCGGCGGTAGGCTGCGGGAACAACTGCTGAAGGCCATCGCTGTGCCAAGCAGCGGTGGTACTATACAGCAGCAGCAACAGCAGCAACTGGGTGGTATGGCGCAGTCGACCGGCCTGGGTGGTCAGCAACAGCCCGGCACGTTGCCCCTGGCCAGGGGACCGTCCATGATGACCTCGCTGGTACCGTACGGTGGATACGCGCCGTCCGCGGGACTAACCAGTTCGTTGCTTGCCGGTTCGACAGGTGGGACTACCACCGGGAGCGGCGGCGGGTTGGGCGTCGGTGGCGGTTCCTCGTGCCTGGCCGGCATCTCGTCGGGCGCCACCACAGGCGTGGTCAATCCGTATACCGATCGCTATGCTACAGATCCTCATCATCCTCATCAGATGCATCATCACCAGCATCACCATCATCATCATCTTCATCAGCAGCATCAGCTGCAGCTGCAGCAGCAACAGCAAATGCAGCAACACTTGAAACATTTAGAGCCGGCAGCGGCTGGCGCTCTTGCGCTGCACGCTCACACCTTCAACAAGCACGACCTGAACTTCAAACGGCAAGTAAGTTTCTTCATCAACAACGTGCGCATCGAAAAGAACGACGCCGCCTAGGGCGACACCTGAGACGGCGCGGGAGGACGGACGTTTCTCCTCCGGTCACAGGTACACGAGGATCACGATCGCGTCGTCGTCTTCGTCGTCTTTGTCGTCTTCGTCGTTGTGTTCATCGTCGTCTTCGTCGTCGTCGTCGTCGTCGTCGTCGTCATCCTCGTCATTGTAGTTCTCGTCGGCTAGTTTCGAGAGCCATCGAGATCGGAGAGAACCAGGTTGATGAGGTCAATTCGAGATGAAAGAGAGAGAGAGAGAGAGTCGCAGATAGAAAGATCTGTTGTTCTCGTCGAGGGCGGACCATCCAAAAGGAAGGAGAATAAGTGTCTTCGGGGAAGAGGCTAGATCACCGCGAAGAGTCGATCTAGGTGACAGAAGGTCGAAGAAAAGGGCGTACATAGTACGTAGGATGACTTCTCTGTTGAAGGGGAGAGGAAGCTGAAGAGCTGGCGCCGGTGCAAGAGCGAGTCGGCGACTTCCCCACTCAAGGATCTTTCGATTCCCTTCGTCTTCTTCTCCGAAACATCGCGTATTACGCACGTACGAGACGGGAGTCCGTGAGAACTAAAACGACAACGCGGCGGATGAACGATCTCTTCGCGCCACGATGTCCCTGCTGAACCCGTCACGTTATAGCTGCAGTTCGGAAAATTAAATGTTTATTATCGGATAATGGCTAGGGAATATATTTATGACACTACTAAAAGTTTTCATTGGACCTTTACATTATGTTCATGCAAATATTAGCTCTAACATTTTATTTAGGCAGTAAGTAAATCCAGCTTTCGATAAATAGTCCATTTAAATTAATTTACTTACAATTAGATATATTACGTACTTGAAAATAAAGTTATAAAAGTTTTTTTTAGAATTAATTAATTTAAAATTATATTGATTTGCTGCTAAAGTCGATTATTTAGAAAAATGTCTTCGAAAAGAAATATTTGGAACAGTCTCTTTCCTGGCTTTGTTATAAATTATTCGTCTTCCTATTAGAGTCATCGTATGATATGGAAAGAGATGCAAATAAATTTTAGAAGAAAATAAAACAAAATGTTAAATTCGGTAAACATTAAATCGTTTAATAATGTAAAAGATTAAAACAAAGCCACAACGATTTGATAAAGGAAAAACGTCTTTTGTGAAATCGATAATAATAGAACATGTTATGTTAATTTCGAGGCTGAATTCAGTGCCGAATACTTGCACGCACTACCCAAATTGTAGAATGTGTGGAACGGTGGCGCGAACATTTAGTCGGAAATAGAATCTTTAGCCGTAACTAGAAATCACTTATTGTTAGACAGATTTTGTCGCACGAACGTTTCCCTGAACAAGGTAGTGTATTGCTCCTTAGTGTTTATCGCTCTTGCGAGTGAACGAGCTCAAAAGACGTCTACGCACGCGTTAATTTAAACGAACGAACTTGCAAACTTCGGATTCGAACTTTGCAAATTGCGTTTCGCTCGACACGAGCAAGTTATTATCTAGGCGGGCGAAAATGTCTCGTCGCGAGCGATCGGCCTAGCGTTATCAACCGCCGTTACTAACTTTCCCGTCTTCCTTCCTGGAGGAGTCCTTATATAGGAGTCATTAGCGTGGATTTAGAGTCACGTAAAATAAATTGTATAAAGCGATATCGCCATAAGTGTTTCCCGTAGTGTCGATCCGCGAAACGGACCGAGGTTGTTTTACTTCTCACCGACTCTCGTCGACCGCATACGTGCACACACAACACTTTAACGCGTACCTGCTTTTCTTTATCGCTCCGAAATCTTTTTTCTCGTCACGCGACATCCCGAAACGCAGAGTTCTCTATTTTTTGACTCGATTGTACTTAGATGTCGTAGGTATACAGGGTGAGGTCTTAGGTGATAGACGTGTGAGTGCAGAGCGTTACGTGAGGCGGCCTCGCGATGGAAAAGTTTCACGCGCGATTTATGGACGAAACAGCTTCTCGATAATGATGCAATTTTTTATGATAAGAATCACCATTACCAGCTAAAGTATAACATTACAACGTATCTTTAAACAGAATCTTAAAATCAAAGTTATATATAGGCGTATCAATAATTCTATATAAAATTTCACATATTTTATAAGGCTTTAAGTCGCAAGATTTCAGAAGTTCCAAGAAATATAACAGCTCAGCCTAACATATCTGTCAATACAGCCCGCTTGTACGCACAATATTGACGCAGATATTTCACGGCAGCATGATAATTATGTAAGTCACTAAACAGCTATTAAACTTAAGATATCCACGAAAGTTCAAATAGCTTCGCCGAAGGAACAGATGCAATTCGATAAACGCGTGCGTGTTAGGTCCGAAGTTTTCACTTCCGCGAAGCAAAGTTTTCCTCGGCGAGCTATGTTTCGAGACCGCGCAACACGCGATTCATTTCCAACGCGAGGAATTCCCAGGTTACACCCTGCAGATGCACAGACGTTCATACGTCGTTCGAAAAATCCCTCTGTGTTTATAGCGTGATAAACCTTCGGGCGATCTCTGATCTTCCGTTAACTTTCAGTAATAGCCCTCCAGAGGGCAAGAAAGAGGAAGGCTACCTGTTCCCGCGACACGACATCGCGGAGAAAGTGGAATAGGACAGATGTAGCCAGACATGTTCTTGGATATCAAGACGTCAAGCGACATTCAGATTTCTTTGCTTTCTCGAATATGAAACGTTATAAAACCATTACTAATACTTTAAGTAACGTTTGAAGTATGACATTATTCTTTTGTCTGAAATATCTAATTTAAAAAGTAATAAAGAAATTGCATAATTTGGTTAAAAAATGTATACATTGTATCTTTAAAAATTATTTTTCTTACGCAAACAGTATAGCATGACATACGAATTACTTATAATAATTTTTATACTGTAATTTCTTTTCACATAGTGACAAATATAACAGTCACGTTATAATAAACATTCGAAAATCTAGATATTGTGAGACATCGTATCGGGAATATTCGATGAATCTAACGGATATAGGTATCTTGGATATTTTTTGAATATACTCCGAAAGACCGACTATTTTCCGGATATCCAAGAACATTTATCAGATGTGGAAAAACATCGTCGAAGAGGCGCGAGACAAGAGGGAGACTTGGTATGCGAGGATTTCGGATCCCGCGGTGAGAAAGTCAATGAGAAAGTCGTTAAATATTTCGGTAGCTTCTATTACAGCGCGGTTAGAACAACCATGCGTACTCCTAAAATTCTTAGGCCTTAGATCGTGAATTTACGAGAACATTTGTTGAATCCTAAAATGTCTATTATATGAATGTGATGTTGTTTGTGAACGCGCGGCGACGGATTGAAGATGAAAGAAGAGATTACCAAAGGAGAGAGAGAAAATTATTCGAATGACACGCAGAGAGATCTATTACATATAAATATATATATACATATACTTATATACATACATACACGTGCATTTCTAAATACATACGTACGTGAAGTCCATGTATTCACATACGCATATATGTTGTGAAGATGCATATGCGTGTACGATGCGTGTGTGTAGGTAAGGAAAGAAAGAAAAGTATATCTGAAGCTTCCGCCGAAAATAATATTTTCGTAGCTCACGGCGATTTAATCCTGCACCCTGTTCCCGATTCAGCCTTTTCTTCTCCTCCTAACACGTCTTCTCCTCCGTACCCGGGTAAATCGCGTGGTACGGGCTATACCCGGTTTAACCATAATTAAATAAGAATAATGTGTACCACTCGAGTCGAGTGTTTCTAGCACAGGTGGTTGTGAGAAGTTCTCGTTCTGTTCCGAGCATATCACGCCTAAAATGTTCCCAACGATCCTTCTACTCGCCGAGGGCGGCCATGACTGCCGTCGAGATCGTGCGCGCGTTCCGAGGTTGTGACAATCCTTATTTTTCTACTCTCTGTGTA